TGACCAGACATCGCCATGTGACAGATTGGAGATACCCAGCCTATTAAATGCCCTGCTGAATTGGCTGCAGGGCAAGTACAGAGTAAGAACTACGCTATAAAATCTGAAAATAAACACAAAAAAAAACAAAAAGGAGGTTTTCCCCCCAAAGATGATTTACTCAACCCTATTGTAGTAGGTTTGGATTCGATTTTCCAAATCCGTCGATCCGGCAGACCATAGGCCTTCATGGATATCAGGTTTTATGCCTCTGGAATGAAAGACGTTGGAGGCAAGACATGTTTAGTTACTTTGAAGACTGTTTAATCAGCTGTAAAACTACTCTCGAGGGTCAAGAATGGCGACTTCCACTTAGATAATCTAGACAATTTAAGGAATTTGAATCAATCAGAAAATGCATTCTAACCACTCTTTTATGACCAAGATCAGACTTTTTTGTGCTGCCTCAGAAAGCCTTGCGCACCTAGATGTTATTTGGTGGAGCTAGATATAAGGATGGTGACTAGAGGGGCGGGGCGCAATGAATGCTACACTGATCTTCTGGATGACCAGCATTGACCGAATTAAATAATAGAGGAGTTTCTCAATGTGGTCACAGGAGAGCTGAAAAGGCTTCTAAGTGGTCTGAAAATGTGGAAACTGAGCCATTCACACCGGTCCCAAAGAGGGTCAGACACAACTACGTATCCCTTTTTATATTTGATGAGGGACCAAATCCATGAAGGCATACAGATGATAGAAGCCATTCACAAAGCAGTCAATAAAAAAAAAAAATCAACCAGATGTTGGCGGTGTTCACCATTAGACGTTACGGCCAAATCATGGGGCCGCACACCTTGACACAGAGAGGTGGTTGACGACGCGGTTGAGAAATCTCATGAGGCTGTGGCTCATGGCGGCTGCGGTGCAGTGTTGGTGGGTAAACTGTAGCTAAAAGCACAGAGAATTCTTGAGTACCTGGTGTGTGTGTGTTGTGTGTGTGTGTGTGTGTTGTGTGTGTGTGTGTGGGGTAGTGAGAGAAACAGAGAGGTGTTCACATATTGTGGTAGAATCTATTTTGACCGCACAGTAGGAGAGCCTGGCAGACTACAGAGGGAGAGACCACAGTGATGAGGTTACCAGGATTAAAGCTGAGGGCAACCCCCTGCTGAGTGTGTGGGATATATATATATGTGTGTGTGTGTGCATGTGTATGTACAAACCGTATTTATAAAAGGAAACGTTGACTGAGCATGCATAATGCTAGTTTTCAGCAATCCACGCAGATGTACACAGAAACCAGTAGCAATGGGACCCACCATACCCTACATTTCGCCAGTGACCATCTCCACTTGACCAGTTGGAGGAGGTTGCATGCCTAAACTTAACTTTACTACACTCTTTCCAAAACAGGCTAAAGCAGCCTCACTGTGGCTTTTAAAAAGGTGAAATCACACCTTTGTGAGTCTGTTTTCTTTGGTCTCAAACACCAAACCAAATTTTGTTGCATTTTTCTTTTCGGTTCATTTAAGTTCACACTGCCCAATTACAAGTG